GTGACTAGGTATTTTATTTTACACAATACAAGACCTGTTGGTCAAGGCATCTATGGGGGGGGGGGGGGGGGTGGTTATTTTATCGAAACAAATTGGAGAGCAAAGTGACGTAATAGATTTAAATGATCTCTGTAATTGTTTTTGTCAAACAAACCGTCAAATTAGCTTGCTTTCTGCTTTCTTGCCGAGTACGAACTATAATGGATGGATAGTGATACTGAACTTGTCCACAATATGGAGTTTGTTTATTATTGCTTAATGTTAATTCTAGATTTGAAGCTTTCGTGACTGCAATGATTCATATTCTTAGGTTTTTCGGTAAAGTCACGTAGGTAAAACATCAAAATTAATAAAAAATAAAATAAAGATCACGACGTTTCGGAGGCAACACAAGTCTCCGTCATCAGGTGGGACCGTCACAGCCAGATTAGCTGCATCAAGTGAGGCAATGATTCAAGATGTAATCCCTTAAAAGCGAGTTGAGGGGGGAGGAGAGGGGGGGAGCTCATCAGAATGTGGTAGCCAATGAATGGAACTTTTTACATTTTGCTCTTTGGTACTACAAACAAATATCTGGATAGCTTCCAGTCTATGTCTGGACGAAACACTGATATGTACCCTTGACAGTGTGCTTTGAGGCTGCTGGTCTACCTCTCTTCATAGTGTTTGCATTTAGATCTACTGCATTAATAATGAGTGATTTGCCCTTGAGGTGTACTTTGTATGTGTCATAACCCCTGTAAAGCCACCTTATTGCATTCTTTTATCGCAAGCTCTGTTAAGAAGAGGCATCATAAAGCAGAGTTTCTGCTGCGTGACCTTGTTTTTCGTGGGTCGGGAAGTTTTAAAAGCCACGCTTTTAAAGGCCAGCATAGTGTGTTTTTGAATGGCAGACACAGATTCGTAAGGTTTACTCACACTTGGCTGTACGCTAACGGTAGCATTAGGGGCAAACAAAACAAGCCGCACACACACGAGTGAGTGTCGTTAGCCTCCGGTACAGTTTGAACCTTACACTCCATTGATGCAAATAAACGTTTTGTACGTGGAAGAAAATATAAATGTCTCGTGGACATAAACTGGTTTGACCAAATCGGCTTAAACTGTTTAACCTGTTTTGAAGTCAAATCTGCATCCCTGCGATGGGTTATAATTCGCAACATTTTGGGAAATGTTTTACCCGCAGAAGATACGTTTGTGACCATAGGATTGGTCCTGGGCCTCCCCGAGGTCGACTCAGCCTCAAATGAGTACCTGGTGCGGTGTGTAAACATTGCCACTGGGGAGACAAAGACGTGGTGCTTGCCACCCACCCCCTCGTGTACCGTGTCGGCTTTGATAGGTGACAGCACTTTCCCCAACAGTCTTTTAAGACTATATGGGGCGTCTTTGTCCTCCGATCATGACTTGTATATCACATGACATCACCATACTTGGCCAGTAAATGTTATAATCGGCTAATTTAACTTTTATTTCGTGTAAAAGGTATTGTGGCTGATTGTGGATGCCTTTTTCCAGCAAATGAATTCACCATGGCTGATGAAGATTTAGTTTTTTCTTCATAATTTGCATTGAATTGGTTTAATATCCTGTTGTGTAGGAATAAGCGGCGTCTCATCCGGCAGACCTGAAGGGATGGTGCGGAGATCATGCTTGCGTTTGGTTCAGATGTGCTTTCAGTGCATGCAAATGCGAAAGGGAAAATGTAATTTCCGCAGTGTATGCAACAGCAAGATATTTTTCTAAGACGTGCATTTTTGTTAGTTATTTATGCTTTTGGCTCGTTATTAAATCAATGTACCTATAAAGTCTGCACATAATGCTGTCAAGTTTTGTTGACAAAGCACAATGCGTTTGTGTGATAAACAAATTTTTGGTGAAAGGGAATTGAGGCCTGTGGTTTTTTAGAGGCAGCCGGACATGTTTTTTTTTACATGAAATATTTATGTTCGCACTTTATAATGTGCTACAGAAAATGCCAGCTGCGCTGTATTCCTGTCTGTGGAGGGTTTGTCAGCAAAAGTTGGCGTGAATTCTGTTAATTTCCTTTCAGGCTGCCGAGTGTTGAGATTAACTTTAATGTATGAGAGCTTTTAACCAAACCAGGAATGTTGGCTATGCGACCAGGTCTGAATCATTTTTGTGGATTAAAAGATTAATTAAAAAGATAAATATATGTTCATTGCATCCTTTCTGTTTGGAGGTCATTTAGTTAACTGGCCTTATCCATCTGCTGCCTACATACTTCGATATATCATTATATGCTGAAACTTGATACGAACCATTTTCATTTTCACTTCTAAAATACCATGATCTGGTACTGAACGGTTATTTCAATGGTAAGCAACGCACGTTGTGTAATATATACACACACTTGCTTATGACCAATGTGCGTGGCGGCGTACAACCGCGGCACTGTACACGAAACCATGCTTCCATATTGGGAAATGCCTATTATTAAAATAGGTTCAAGTTAGTGTGTCGCGTGTCACACAAGATAAACTCGCACTCTGGCAAGAGTTTGGCTAAAAAAAGTAATGCGCTCTACTCAACTCCTTCCATACGGTAGTCTAGCGAGCGCACTTAACTCTCACGGCAATTAAAATAACTATACTTGTAGTTTATAGCCTTAGTGAAATGTCAACGCTTAGCATTTAGGGTTTGCACTGTTTTTAATCGGTGGACATTACCTGCTATGGCGAATGGATCAGTCAAATTTACATTGATGATAAAAACATAAAACAAGCTCAAAATTGCTTAAAGAAGCATGGGGACAATGGCAGAGCCAGGATTTTCAAGTAGGGGGGCAACCCCTCCAGCAATGAAAAATTATAGGAGTTGTTAGTAAGTAAGGACTTGTCCCTTGCTTTTTATTCGACGCGTGTGCGGCGATGGTGCAGCCATCGATCGAGGGTCGAATTCGAACCGCGTTGTGTGATCGGCATCGTGCTCGCTGAAGGTGTTTGCCTTCAGGGAAGCCGTGTACTGTATACGCAACTGAGCACAATTCTGAGTCACTTATAACTGCTTTGCCGTTACTTATTGCCAATTATGGACTCAGACTATTATCCTATCATCTCGTAGAGTCCCTGGCACATAATAATATGCTACACAGTGGCAGTGGGGGGTCGCAAACGGGTACCCGATACCCGTACCCTACCCGATACCCGGCTACCCGTACCTGGCCGGGTACGGGTAGCCGTTTGCGACCCTGGTGCGGCCGGGTACGGGTACGGGTAGGCCGTGAGTCACCGGTGAGTAACCGTTTGTCACTCATTTCGGGTAGGGTACGGGTAGGGAACGGGTACGGGTACCCATTTGCGACCCTGGTGCGGCCGGGTACGGGTAAGGAATCAAAACCCGTTTGCGACCTCTGTTGGGGGGGCACATGCCACCCCACCTCCCCACTGGCTCCGCCAGTGCATGGGGAGAAGTACATTCTTGCCATTGAATTGAGAGACAGAACATGAGAGCACACGTAGGTTAGAGGTATCGGTGTTTATAAAACTACGACAGCTTGGGCAGGATGCCGAGAGAAGGGATGATGGTCGGTGGCCGAGACTAAAAATGGAGCGGCAGTCAAGTGAGGGAACGCATCCGAGCAGACGTTCGCCACATCACAGCGCCGAGAGATGGTGACGGCTCGGATGACGATGATGAGAACTGCACTACTAAGTCAGGGAGTAGATGGCACAGTTGTCTAACTTAGGCTACCTGGCTGTGGAGCCGATTCCGCGTCACTGTTCTACACATTCTGCTGCCCACCTGCCACTAACACTGAGGCAGAAACTAAAAACAGCTCAGGTCAGTACTGGCTCAAACGATGTGGGCCCTAGTTATAGCCAGGGTTTTACAGAACACCAGGTTACATGATAGCATCATTATTATACATGTACAGGCTATCGCTACACTATGAGACCTCCTTTACTAGTGACAAAATATAGTAATAGGTTTTCACCCTTTCAACTGGTACAAAAACTGACACCTTTATACAAGGGATCATGTTTGCAATTACCACAACACAGTGCATATCATTATCAGAGTTGTTTCTTTTTGTTTGCATTTTGACTGCTTGTGTTGTGATTATTGCAAACATGATTCCTTGTATAAAGGTGCCATTTTTTTGTACCAGTTGAAAGGATGAAAACCTATTACTTATACAGGCTATCGGTCGCTCCACTGCTGGATAAGAGGCTCTCCATGCCATGTGTGTTGTAGAAGTTCGTTGACAGTGCTTGGGCAGAGTGGTCAGTGGGTTTGTGAAGACGGGGAAGAGTGTAAAGGTACAGTAAGACGATGCATTTTACTGCTCTGTCTTGTGCTGTAACTCGCATAGCCCCACAGCCTGTAGCAACTTGTTATACTTGGTGGTTACTCATCCAAGCATTATCCAGGCTCAACATTGCTGATCTTTGGAAGCCTACCAGGATCGGGCACCTTCCAGCTGATTTGTTCACTGGCAGCATCATTGGGGGTAGCAACATATCCTTGGTGTTTGGAGTTGGCCATCAAGGCAAGTATTTTTTGTTCAGGGAAAGATAATGCGGTACATTTGATATTGTTGTAGCACAGGTAGAGAGACGTGTGCTCTGTTATCTCAAAACACAACTTGCCCAGCAATGCAGAGTGTATTCTAATCTGGATGCTCGTGTGAATGACAGCCAGGCATTTACAAGTGCCATCCTTATTTGTTTTTTACGTTTTCTGACCCTAGCTGGTTTCTGCAGTGGTTATTATCGTATCGGTTTGTTAAGTTATTGTTTTACGTTGCACATTGTACACCCTGACAAGATAATTATCTTTACAGAGAACGAAATGAGTGTGTTATGCAAGTCACACTACAGTGCAGTAGTTACAAACGTACGGTTATTAAATGCTGAATAAGCGCTGAATGTATTTTTCATTGAAGAGCGATTTAAAAATCACAGGCATTTGCTAACTGAGCCATATGCATTGGGAGTTTGACAGTAACGTTGTACCCTTTCTTTTATCTTCTCCAGCATTCCCTGTCATCCCAACCGACCATCCGCTTCGGAGGAGGCAAAGGGGTAAGTCAATCGCATTGGCCGTGTTTGCCGACCATCTGTATGGCACGCTGGGGAAACGGTCTGCCGAGGTCCTTCCCTCTGTGTGTGTGCGCGCGCCTCTGTACATGAAAGTGTCCTTGTCAAGATGTGCCACAGTGTGGGCCAAACCATTAACTGTTGAGTGACAAGCCAAGCATGTGCAGTGCATCGGTTGAAAAAAATGGCATGTTTCGTCAAATCCGCTTTATTGATTGCCGTTCTCCATTTGTCCTGAAATTGATTGTACTGTTTGTAGTGGTTAGCACACGGTGCCAGCACTCTTGAGTTCGATACCCAGTCATGGTCAACGTCGGCAGTGGTGAATTCCACTTCACCCGTTCCACACTGATCAGCTTAGTGAAGTTTAGTAAAACAAAACCATTGTGGGGAGACCTTAGTCTAGCACTAGCTGTACATTATTATTTACATTTCACTTGCATCCTGCGATTAGTGCACACGGGGGACGTGACTGGACTAGATCCTGTGTTTGTATTCGAGACCGCTGATGATGATGGTTTCATCTGATCCTTGAAATGTCTGGTTCAGTAAATATGAATGTGAAAGAATGCCCAAGAATAACGAAGGTTCCTGAGTGCAGGCTGAACACCTGCTCTGAAATAATGAATAAGTTGAGGTCGTGGAAGGACCAAGAACATTAATTATAGTTACAAAGATGTCACCGCAGCGTCCAGTAAACCTTTATTTTGTTCGGGGTATAAAGATCCATCAATTTACTGATTCCTATAGATTATTAAGCTCACATTACATGCGTAGAATCTCGTGTGCAAGAAGTAATGTTTAATCCTTGTTGGTGATGGTTTCATGTGACCCCTCCAGCCACTAGAGGCAGCTAGAGGCACAAAACTGTTAACTATTATTATTGTTGAATTAAATTGTCACCTAGAATCATCATGACAATTCCTTGAATCTCGTTGGGACCAAATTTTTACACCCCTATCCATTAAACTTTGTCGTTCAAAGTGGAGTTGGTGCTGAGAGAGAGGTCACTTTGTATCCATGTACAGTACTTTATGTGCTTTTTGTTGAGCTCCAAAATCTAGCGCCATGGCATGACCGTGTGTTTGTGTGGTTTCAAGATCCTGAAGGCGCTTCAAGTAACTAAAAATGTTGTGTCGTGTCAGTACAGGAGGAAATGTTGGCTTTACCGTGTGTAGGATTTATAAGCTACAGCGAGCAAACAAAGCCAAAATTTCTGTAAAATATTTATTTGGGCTGGGTCAGTGTTTGCAGCTTGTTGATCTAGATATTGACATTTGGCCACAGGTCTTAAAATCATAACATCTAGCAGCTTGAAAAGTCAACTGCTTATATTTTGGCTTGGTCACGTAATCCTGAAATCATTCTTCCAAAAAAAATTCTGCTAGGAATCACGATGATTGCCAAAAAATACATTTCTGTGCTCTATAATAACTATAACCAACAATTCTGTCTACTGTTAAATGACTCCTTTTATCTTCATCTGGCCATGATTCTTTTTTAAAATATATGCAAAAATGTTGGATGGAACCCCTTCTGTTAAATCAGATCCAAGAAAAACTCGAATTCACACGTTGCGTACTTGTTCCAGGCGAACTGTTACCTCTTTATGGGCACATAGAAGCTGACCTAAATGTTCCCATTTAATTTGGTTGAATAAATAGTGGCACGCTATAACATGAAACCCATAATGCAGTAATGCATTGAGCATGGTAGTGAATGCTGCGCAGTGCCCTCTTAACACCTGTTTATGCATGATAAACCTCTTGCCCAAGCACAATCCATGCTCAGTGCTGCATTGCTTCTGAGATCGGGCACTTTCTGGGTTAATTTGATGGGGTAATATTTTGGGACTCAAAGGGTAGTGCAGCAAATGCATTGTTGTGTGCAGGCAGTCCTCGACTTAGGAACGGGTTACGTTTCCGAGACCCTGTTCCGTAAGTCCATTTGTTCGTATCTCAGAACTCAATAGTTAATTGTATATTCGGTCAGTGTTATAAAATCTGTTATCATTCAGCAAAAGAGAGAAGCATTGTTAAACTCATCAATAAAAAATAAATATTGTACTTTTCCACGTAATACGGTCATAAATACTATGTAGTAAATAAAACATAAAATAAAGTAACTTAAAAAAAACGTTTTATTTTCACTTCCATTGCGTCCTAATGCTGGTTTGCTTGTTGTCGGAAGGGGCATTTCTAGGAGGAGACTCGTTAAATCTCGTGGAGGATTGCTCCGCCGAACAAAATAGTTCCGCAGTTTGATTCATAAGTACGACCGAACATTTGAAAATCGGATGGTTAAAAAAAATTCCATCTTGCGGGGGTTCATAAGTGTGGATGTTTCTAAGTCAGACGTTCGTATTTTGGCGACTGTGTGTGTATTGTATTTTAATGCTCCCATGTCTGCTCTCTGCGTTCACAAACTCACTGACTCGCGTGGTGAAGTATGGTAAACAAACCCCCACAACCCGCACGATGGGAGGGGGAGGCCCTCATTTGGCTGTGGATTAACAAAACGGCTGTACATGTGTGTACATGTACACAAACAATGACATATTTGGGGATATTTTAATTATAGTTTTAACAAAGAAGAGAAACAACACCGGTCACGTGAAATGTGTCTGCCAGTTTGAGTAAACACGGACAATTCGGTAGGGTAACGCCGTTCCCCCATGCGCCGCAAACGGCAGCTGCGAGCCAGAGGTCGCAACCGGGTACCCGATACCCGTACCCTACCCGATACCCGGCTACCCTTACCCGGCCGGGTACGGGTACCCGTTTGCGACCCTGGTGCGGCCGGGTACGGGTACGGGTAGGCCGTGAGTCACTGGTGAGTAACCGTTTGTCACTCATTTCGGGTAGGGTACGGGTACCCGTACCCAGCCGGGTACGGGTACCCATTTGCGACCATGGTGCGGCCGGGTTCGGGTAAGGAATCAAAACCCGTTTGCGACCTCTGCTGCGAGCCGAGCCTGGACTGATTGCCAGCCTCGGTGTGTCCGTGACCCCACTCGACCGGTGGAACGTGTTGCGGCCGCCACAGGTGTCTGACCTCAGGCATCTCGTCCCCACCGACCAACTTGGCATGCAACCGCCCTCATCGCCACTGGCATTACTGGCGTTGGGTAAAATGGTGGGGGGCGGAGAGGCATACCTGGTGGAATGGGGCCACATGATCATAAAAGGTCGCTTGTCCGGGTTAAAATATGAGCAGACAAACAAAACCCAGCGATAGATTAGCTACCCAAAAGAGCCGATTCAGTGGTCTCAAGGTAAAATATGATTACTTGCTCCAGTTCATAATTTCTAAGACCTTTTTACTTTCAGTAGATATTTGTGCATTCTGGGTTTCATGGTTAGATCGGCGCCCTGTTGATTTCACCAAATGAAAGAAAATAGCAATATGTTGAGCCATTTCTGGTCCCATAGAGAGAATTTTTTTAAGGAAGAGGTGCACAATATCATTAAAGTTTTATTTGGTTGTAATCTATGGAAAAAACTTGAGTTATAATATAGATTGTCCAATTCCTTTTAGCTCCAAAGTGGGTAGCTAAAGTCGTCTGAAGCATCAGGCATGTACATGTGTTACCACGTCACTTGAATTGCTGAGTACATGGACAGCCCGTTTGTCAATCCACTACTGGATGAAGGCCTCACCACACTGTCCAGACAGTTTGGGTTATTTATCCATATTTTACAATGCTCGTTTTGTTAAAGTTGATGGTGGCATAAGTACAAATACAAGTTTAGATTTTTCTAGACTGCCCTCTCCTGCCCACAATGCCTACTGCACGTATTTTGTGTGAATGTGATCATCCATCCAAGCACTATCCAGGCTCAACCCTGTTTAAGTTCCCCGGTCTGATGGGATTGCATGCCTTCCGAGTGATTTATTGTGCGGAGTGAGACTAGAATGCCGTCACTAAGGATATGCCCCTGTGGCGATGTATACTCTGCCTCGTTGGCTGTAGGTGACGGCTGCATATTACTGCTCTGTGTGTTATCGCAGAGAGGAAGAGAGAACGAAGCTAGGCCTATGTTTAGTAATGCCACAATCTAAGGAAAACCCCAAACGAAACGCAATCATCGAGCAAAGTGTGAATTTGCAGAAGCACTGACTTCACTTTTCATGTGTTGTTCTGTACGGTATGTGTATTCATGTTATAATGTTATACCATATGTCTAATGCAGGTTACCTACCGTGTGTATATTCTTACAATCGTTTCTGGCTTCGGCAGTAACGTGTGTATAGAAACAACCTGGTTGTAAGATTAGCCGAATCTGTCGGCGTACATGCGGTTGATGTATGTTCAATCTCTTGTGGGCTTGTGTCGGCAGTTCGTTATAAGAGGAGGAGGCTGAAGTTGCCGTGTAATTGTGCATGCCCACGCATGTGGAAATGTACAGTTTGGCTGGTGCCTTTTTAATTGTGGCTGAGCAACTCTCGCAAGTTGAACGAACGTGATAAGCAGCCAAAATGTTGGATTAAGGCATCCAAAGCTGCCCAAACAACTCTACCTTTAACGGTAGTTTAAAGGCTATGTCAACATGGCCACAATCGTAATCGCATTATTATACTATTTGCATAATATGTTGCTTTTCTGATGAGGTAGTAGCTTGGCTTCGTATTATTTTCGAATTCAAAAACCCCAGCATCACTGTGCTCATATGCATGACATGGTCGCAGGGTTTAAAGTTACACACAGCTGTGATGCTACTGTCATCTCTCGCGCATAAACTTCTCGTACCTTTTGTACCCAATTGTTGGCATTTTTGGAAAATCCTATGACCCAGTAAACTTACACAAAAAAATGTAGTGTGATCACGTGCGCATATATATATGGCAGTGGTAAAATGTGGGGTTACCTCTATTTGAATGTTTCTTCTTAGTCAAGCGACTCTGGGGTTACATTCACGTGAACTGGGGTTTCCAGTAATGCTGGGAGTAGTCACATCCTGTTTGTATTCGCCGTGACAGTCATA